CAAACAACTTTAAAATAATGCCTCAAATTGAGTTCTGGAGTGGCAGAGCCAACAGAAGGTCAGGGTGAGATGTTTTTAGAGCTTGAGACAACTTAGGAAGTTGGCTGGAAAGGTCTGGGACACTGGGGTGGGGGCTGACTGGAAGCAGAGGCAACAGGAACACCATCAGAGGGCCTTAGAGATGGCAGTGATAACAGTGACAGCATCTTTGGGAGCTCTCAGGTCAGAAATGGTGAGCGAGTTAAGCAACTGACCAGAGAGAGATTGCAGGGAACCCTTTGCTGGCACTAGGTGCAGGACCCAGTGCTGTTGGGCAACTCTATTGTCCATATGCAGTCCTGGGTCACAGTTCTAGGGTGGAGAGGAGTGCCTCTGGTTGATCACAAGGGAGCGGGTACCTGGTCACAGTTCTGGGGCCAAGAGGAGTGTTAGTGCAAGCAGCTGCAAAGGAACAGACTCCAGGGGAGAGACCAGAGTGCAGACCAGGAGAGCAGTGACCACACCTCGCCTAGGATCACACCACCTGTTTCTGTCTGTCTTTGTCTGTCTCTCTGTCTCTGTCTCTCTCTCTCACTGTCTCTCTCTATCTCTGTCTCTCTCTATGTCTCTGTCTCTGTCTCTCTGTCTTTTTTTCTGTATCTGTCTCTCTCTGTTTCTGTCTCTGTCTCTGTCTGCGTATGTGTGTGTATGTGCGTGTGTCTCTGTGTCTCCCTAGCTTGGTGAGGGTGGAGACAGAGGTGTTATACATTCACTTCTGGAGAGAAGTATCCCTTCAGAGTTGCCAGTGTCTTCAAAGTCACAGAGAAAATTATGAACCACACAGAGAGATTGTTTCAGTCAAGTTAGTTTTGAGAGAAGAAAGAAAAGGACGAGAAAAAATACTGTAATAGAGAAGAAAGGAGGAAGAAGGCAAAGGATTTTACTATTTTGCACAATTGGAGTACGTAAGAAGAGAATAAAAACCGAGGAGTGGGCATCTCATGATCCTCACTGTTATCTGAATCATGCAAAGGAGTTACACACAACGTTCATAAATACAAGATTTCATGTAGAAATACATTCAATTCAACAAGGAAATAAACACGGATAGGGAAAAGAGAGAAGAGTGTTTAAGAAAGAAGGCAGGTCTAGGGAGGGAATAGTCAAAAACAAAGTAAACACTCTACTCTTTCACTTTACTCAATAAAACACCAGTGGCTGCTTCTCACCTCCTGGATCAAATTCAAAATACTTTATTTGGTATTCAAAGCCCTTCTCAACTTAGAGCCCCCTCCTACCTTTCCAGTCTTCTTATACTTCATTCACCAACACATACTCTGATCCAGGGACACTGGCCTCCTGGCTATCTTACTAACAAGACACTGTCTCTTGGCTCAGATCATTTCTTCTGCCTTTCTCCCATGCCTGGAATGCTCTTCCTCCTCATCTCTGCCCTACTGACCTCCCTGGCTTCCTGTAAGTCCCAACTAAAATCCCACCTTCTACAGGAAGCCTTCCTCAACCCTCTTAATTCTAGAGCCTTCCCTCTGTTAATTATTTTTTAGTTATCCTCACTATTGCTCATTTTGTATATATTTGTTTGCATGTTGTCTCCTCCATTGGATTATAAGCAGCTGGAGGGCAGGGACTGTCTTTTGTCTCTTTTTGTATCCCCAGCATTTAGCATAGTGCCTGGTATATAGTAAGTGCTTATTAAATGTTAATTGGTTGATTGATTATTGATTACTTTAGAAGGCAGACCAAAATGGAAGTGTCTACAAGAGAGAAAGAAGATCTAAGAACTAGTTTTCAGGGTCTGGGCTTGGTGAAGAAGAGAGACTTTGGAGTAGGACAAGACTATTTCAAATACAAAAGATCAGATTTGATCTTTTCTCCACTTCCTTCTTGACAAAGTGGGAGGAAAGAAGATACTGAAAGAGAAAAAAAGTGTAAAAGGATCATAACTGTGAATGTGATTGGGAAAAATATACCCATAAAATGGAGGATAACAAAAGAGATTAGGAAATAAAGTTCAACAATATGGTTGAGAAGAAACACACTTGAAACATAAGAATTCACAGAAAGTTGAAGTAAGGGACTAGAGCATAATAAATTATGATTTAGGCAAGTTTTTGAAAAGTGGGGTTAGCAGTCATGATCTCAGACAATGCAACGGTAAAAATAGACATGGGGAAAGGGTTATGAATCAAAAGAGTATGAGAAAAGAGAGACACCTCTCTCATTAGAGACCAGACTCCGCCAGGACTGAACCTGGTCTGAAATGTGAGCTTGATTTCAGAGACAGAGCCCTCAGTGGAGAGGAAATGGAAACATGGCACTGGGTTCATCCACAATCATTACTCTTCCGTGTATATTCTATGTCCTCTTTGTCTTAGCCACCTGCTCTTTGCCCATTTCACCCCTGGGAAGGTAAGGGGAAGAAGAAAAAGTGGAATTCCAATTTCTAGAGGATTCTAGGGAAAGAAATGCTGTGAAGTTTGTATGCTGATGGTGGGTTTGAGTTTCTTAGTTACTCTTATCCCCTTTAACTCACAGGCAGCTAAGATTTGGTTATACTTCTACAGTTAGGATTCCCATTTTATTAGCACCTTTGGCCAAGTCCATAACATGAGTCAAGGCATGGGAAAGTAAAAAGCCATGAGAGACTATGCTTTCCATCACTGTGCCCACCAAAGGTGCAACTTAAGGTTTGAGAAGTATTTCCCATCCATCGTCTTATTTGATCCTCATCCAATAGCTGTAAAGGGTAGATGTTATGATCATTTTACAGATGAAGAAACTGAGACTTGCCCAGGATCACTTAACTAGTGAGAGTCAGAGAAGACATTTAAACTCATGCTTCTCTTGACTAAGGCAAAGGCTCTTTCCATTGGACCATTCTGTCTCCCTGTAGAATAACTTAGCTCTTAAGTGGATCCAAGAAGGAGTATCTGAGATACTGTTTTCTCTGTTTGATCTTTACTCAGGCAAGAAATGAGAATTTCATTCTTTGTTACTCTAGAAAAATATCAGATCTCTTTTTAAAGTATTCTGAACTCCTCAGACACAGTAGCTGTACAAATATAAGATGTCATTAATGTCAACATATATTCCGTCAATGGCATTTCCTACTGACAACCAGAAATCAGTGAGATCAGAAGATGAATTGGAATGAAATGTCAAGGATGGAGTTGGAATGAAATGTCAAAGACAGAGTTAAAATGTGAACTGAGGAGAAGATGGCATAGTAAGAAGGCAACAAGAGTGAAATGGCTTAAGGACTGGGTTTGGACCTTGCTTCTGACACACATTAGCCATTAGACCCTGGACAATTCATTTCACCACTCTATGCCTCAGTTTCCTAATCTGTAAAATGAGGAGCATAGCAGCCATTGCACCAAGATTATTGTGAGGATTGAATGAAATAATATAGACGTAGCGGAGAGAATTGATTCCCCCATGCCCCAACCTTGTTGATGTAATCACTGAAAGTAAGAGAAATAAGGTATTCCTTCATATATCAAATGAAGTGCAAAGACAAATCTAAGCCCCCCCACAAAATGTGAACGTGTTCTCCCCAATGAAATTTAGAGAGGCAACTTGCCATTGACTGGCAAAAGATTGACCATGCCCTGGTGGCCCTTAAAAACTTGACAGCTCTGAGACAGTCAAGACAAATGCTTAGAAATAAGTATTTATTGTCTACCATGTGCAAGGTCTGTGCTAAACACTTTGCAAATATTATCTTATTTGATTCTCACAGCAACCCTGGGAGGTAGGTGCTATTGTTATCCTTATTTTACAGTTGAGGAAACTGAGGCAGATAGAAGTAAAGTGACTTGCCCAGAGTCACACAGCTAATACATGCCTGGGACTAAATTTGAACTCGAGTCTTCCTGACTCAAGGCCAAGTGCTCTGTCCGCTACATCACCTGGCTACCTCTAAGAAAGGAAGCAGTTCTGTAGAATGTGACCCCTGAGCATTTACCTACCAGAGAGTACTATTGGAGGGGTAGCTATTTCTCTCCTGCCCTACCACATCCTCCATAACATCAAGTATCAGAGCTACCCTCCCAATAAGAGACTCCATATCCAGTTGTTAGAGAAAAAAAGACAGCCAACCTCAAGAAGTAAGACCTCTAGGGCAGCTAGGTGGCGCAGTGGATAGAGCACCAGCCCTGGATTCAGGAGGACCTGAGTTCAAATCCAGACTCAGACACATAACACTTACTAGCTGTGTGATGCTGGGCAAGTCACTGAACCCCATTGCCTAACCAAAAAAAAAAAAAAAGAAAAAAAAAAGAAGTGACACCTCTGCCAGCAAAGAAGATACCTGTTTTCAAGAGAGAGTTATCTCCAACAGTTGGGACTTCAGCTAGAGAGAGGAGAAGCCCAAAGGAATCACCTGCCCAGCAGAAGAGGGGTGCCCAACAGGGGAACAATGTGATGACACCACAAAAAAGCAAAGGTATCGGGGCCCTCAAGTACCAGAGGCATGAGCTGCCCTGGCCACCCGGGTCCTCACTCACATTATTTTATTCCAAAGAAAAGTGAGAGAACACCTCTTAGCTGTTCTTTTATAGTATCAGGTGTGACAGGGAGAGATTGGAGGCATGGGGTTTCCCCCCCATTTCCCTTTTCATTTTGTTTTTTGTTCTCTGATAAACTTCTGTGATCATATGTCTAAACCTACGGCTGCCTAGGGTGAAGTATCCCAAAGCATCTATGGGGAGAAGGGCAGAGCAGAGACAAAAACATAAATGTAAGTTCTATATTCTAAAATTGTATTGATACCTCGTCTCCTTGGCCAGGGGTGGGAAACCTGTAGCCTCAAGGCCACACGTGGCCTTCTAGGTCCTCAAGTGTGGGCTGATGTCAAAGGGCCATGCTTGAGTACCTAGAGGGCCACATGAGGCCTCGAGGCTGCGTATTCCCCACCCCTGATCCAGAGCGTCTGTCTTTGGTATAATCCTCAGTCTACTTAGGTGCCAATGCCCCACCATGCTTCCATTCTGTCTTACTTGAATGACCATTGTTGATCAGCAGAAACTCTCCATCCTGAAGACCGTAGCCAGCCAGTTCTAGAGGCCCCAGAGTCTTGTTCTCCAATACTCTCTTTGTCTGGATGTCGATGGGGGACTGCCTCTTTCCTCCACAAGTTGGATACTGCTCAGACCATTCATTCTCTGTTAGGTGGGGAAAAGGAAAAAATTAGAACTGAAGCTGTAATAGGGGTTGGCCAAGGTTAGAAGGATAATAAGAGAAGGCTTCATGCTGTCCCTTTTATTCTTGTTGTTGAATCATTTTTCAGGCATATCTGACTCTTCATGACCCCATTTGGGGTTTTCTTAGCAGAGATCCTGGAGTGGTTTGCCATTCCGTTCTCCAGCTCATTTTACAGTTGAGGAAACTGAGGCGCACAGGGTGAAGGGACTTACCCAGGATCACACAGCTAGTAAGTGTCAAGGAGCCAGATTTGAACTCAGAAAGATGAGTCTTTCTGATTCCAGGCCCAGTATTCCATCCACTAAGCCACCTAGCTGCTCCATGCTGCACCTATCCTTATCAAAACTACTGGCCTGTATAACAATCTAGGTGGCCCAGTGAATAGAGTGCTGGTCCCAGAGTCAGGAAGATATGAGTTCAAATTCAGACGCCGACACTTACTAGCTATGTTACCCAGGGCAAGTCATTTTACCTCTGTCTGCCTCAGTTTCCTCAACTGAAAAATGGAGATAGCAACAGGACCTACTTCACAAGATTGTTATGAGGGTCAAATGAGATAATATATGGAAAGGACTTAGTGCCTGACACATAATAGGAGCTGCATAAATGATTGTTTGTTTCCTTCCCATTATGTGTGATTTAAACCCAGGTCTTCCCTACTCTAGCTCCATCATTCTATCCACTATAGATACCTTCTTGTCTCTCTGAAGAGTGGCCTACAATCAAAGCCCAGCATTCTCTGAAGGACATCATTCTGGCCCCGATGACCTCCTCATAAGAGGATATCAGTATCCCAGAGGTGTACCAAACTCCACATACTCCCTGAGTTCTAATCTAGCCTCAGACACTTACTAGCTGTGGGACCCTGGGAAAGTCACTTCACCCTGTTTGCCTCAGTTTCCTCATCTGTAAAATAAGTTGAAGAAGGTACTGGCAAACCACTTTAGTATCTTAGTCGAGAAACCCCCAAACGGGGTCAAGAAGAGTCAGACGCAACTAAAAAATGATTCAACAGCAACATGGGCAGCATGTGATCTCTCCCTATTGGAAGAAGGTTCTAGAAGACAACTGGCTGACTGGTTTCTCTATGTCTCTACCACTTCCTACGTAATAAACTGTTAATAAATGCTTTTCATTCATTTATTAAGCACCTACTGTGTACCAGGCACTGTTCTAGGTACTGGAGATGAGGCACAGAGACAAAAACTAAAGTCTGAGCCCTTGAGAAACTCATATTCAACTAGACACTGAAGGACAGTCTATGGCCAGTCTATGATCTGCGTGGAGAAGTTGCATGAACTAATGAACCACCTGTGGTTTTCTTTCTGTGGAGGGGACACCTCCCCCCCCCAGCCCCAGCTCAGTGAGAACCAGCAGCTCTCTGTTACTTCCAGGATAAACTCTATGAATACATATGCATGCTCTGCATAATCTAGCTCCTAGTAACACACATGAACTCTCTGTTTCTCTCTCTCTCTGTCTCTGTCTGTCTCTATCTCTCTCTCTGTCTCTCTCTGTCTCTCTGCCTCTGTTTGTATGTCTCTTTCTGTCTCTTTCTCTCTCTGGCTTTCTCTGTCTCTCTCTGTGTCTCTGTCTCTGTCTCTTTCTCTCTATCTTTCTCTCTGTCTCTGTCTCTCTGTCTCTTTCTGTCTCTTTCTCTCTCTCTGTCTTTGCTCTGTCTTTCTGTCTCTCTGTCTCTCTCTGTCTCTGTCTCTCTCCCTCTCTCTCTCCTCTCTCTCTCTCTCTTTCTCTCTCTCCTCTGTCTCTGTGTCTCTCTATCCTCTCTCTCTCTGTCTTTCTGTCTCTGTGTCTCTCTCCTCTCTCTCTCTGTCTTTCTGTCTCTCTGTCTCTCTCTCTGTCTCTCTGTCTCTCTCTGTCTCTGTCTCTCTGTCTGTCTCTCTCTCTCTCTCTCTCAACCACATTGGTACTTGTAGTACCTGGTACATGATTATCTCCTATCTCCATGCCTTTGCACTGGCTGTCTCTCATGCCTACAATTCTCTGCCCTTGCACTTCTTTTGTTATTCAGTCATGTCCGACTCTTCCCGAACCCATTTGGGGTTTTCTTGGCAAAGATGCTGGAGTGGGTTGCCATTTTCTTCTCCAGCTCATTTTACGGATGAGAAAACTGAGGCAAACAGGGTGAAGTGACTTGCCCAGGGTCACACAGCTAGTAAATGTCTGAGGTCACTCAGGAAGATGAGCCTTCCTCACTCCAGGCTCAGCGCTCTATGCACTATGGCACCACCTACCGTTTAGTTTTCCAGGCTTATTTCAAGACAGCTCAAGCCTCACATTCTACAGGAAGCCTTTCCAGGTCCTGCTCAGCTGCCTTCCCCTTTCACATTACCTTCATCCACTCTGTATGTATCTTGTCTGTTCCTAGTTATTTTCGTATTGTCCCCCTCTTTAAAAAGTGAGCTCCTTGAGGGCAGGGAATCTTTTTGTCTTTCTTTGTAGCCCCAGCACTTAGCACAGTGTCTGACAAATAATAGGTGCTTAATAAATGCTGTTTGATTGACTAACTGATGCTAAAGCCTAGAAACAAAACTAGCCCATGGGTTTTCCAGACTGAAAGCACCTCCAACTATCTGGCCCCTGGGAGAAGGAGCAGAGAGAAGCTTGGGTTGGGTGAGCGTTACCTGGGTACGTCCAGCCGTGCCCACTTCCCTCGGTGTGAAGTATGAGGAGCAGAGGAAGCAGGGCTACGAAGGTCCTCATGGTGCAGCTGAGTCTGAAATCAGAACGAGAACAGGTGGCGGCTATTTGCAGGGCACGGCTGAAGGACAGTTTCTGAAGACCCCATTTGCCGGATGCAAGGATGCGGAAAATGTCATTGTTTTGAAAGATCTGCACATCCTGACTCTCTTTGCCTTGGGTGCTTTCCCTGTCCTGTGGACGCCCCAATTACAAAGCCTTTGCTGTGTGGCTTTTCAAGGGAGTTTTGATAATGTTGGGATGTTTGGCAACCACCCTGGTGACTAATTAAGGTGAAGATGCCTCCTGAGTAGACGAGTCAATCACCCATCTCAGCCTCCCCAGGACAGACCAGATGAGAAGGGTCCATTGTGGTGATGGCGTTATTGTTTTAAGGGAGATGTTGCAAAGGGTAGAACAGGACAGGCTGGGTAAAAGGTTGTTTATACTTTCTAGCCTTTTAAAAGAAAAGTTTTTACTAATTATAGATTACTGATTATTTCACTTCTTTTTTTAAGTAATTTTATATTTATTTCATTAAATATTTCCCAATTACATGTAAAAAATTTTGAATACTCATTTTTAAAAATTTTGAGTTCCCTACCTCCTGTCCCTACCCCTTCTTTGAAAAGGCAAGCAATTTGATATGGATCATACATGTGCACAATCATGCAAAACACTTTTCCATATTAGCCATGTTGCAAAAGAAAACGCAAACAAAATAAAACAATAAAAATAAAAAATAACAAAATGAAAAAAGTATGCTTCACTCTGCATTCAGAGTTCATCAGTTGTCTCTCTGGACAGGTATACCATTTTTCCTGATGGGTCCTTTGGAATTACCATGGATTGTTGTCTTGATCAGAGTAGCTAAGTCTTTCACAATTGATCATCATTACAATGTTGCTGTTACTTAGATAATTGTTGTTACAATGTCCTGCGGGTTCTGCTCACTTCACTCTGCATCAGTTCATATAAGTCTTTCCAGGTTTTTCTGAAACCATCCTGCTCTTTATTTCTGATAGCACAATAGTATTCTATCACAATTATATCCCACCATTTGTCCAACTGTTCCCCAATTCGTGGGCATTCCCTCAATTTCCAATTCTTTGCTACCACAAAAAGAACAACTGTAAATATTTTTTGTGCAAACTGGTCCTTTTCCCTTTTCTTTCACCTCTTTGGAATACAGACCTATTAGGGCTATTTCTGGATCAAAGGGTATGTACAGTTTTATAGCCCTTTGGGCATAGTTGCAAATTGTTCTCCAGAATGGACCAGTTCACATCTCCACCAACAATGCATTCATATCCTAATATTTTTGCATCCCCTCCAGCATTTGTCATTTTCCTTTTCTGCCATGTTAGCCAATGTGACAGGTGTGAGGTGGTGTCTCAGATTTGTTTTAATTTGCATTTCTTTTATCAGTAAAAGCTTTTTTTTTAAAGGCCAGAAAGTATAAATAATCATTTATCCAGCCTGTCCTGTTCTACCCTTTGCAACATTCCACTAAAACAATAACAGTATCACCACAATGGACCCTTCTCATCTGGTCTGTCCTGGGGAGGCTGAGATGGGTGATTGACTTGTCTTCTCAGGAGGCATCTTCACTTTAATTAGTCACCAGGGTATTGCTGAACATCCTAACATTATCAGAACTCCCTTGAAAAGCCACACAGTGAAGGCTTTGTAATTGAGGCATCCACAGGACAGGGAAAGCACCCAAGGCAAAGAGAGTCAGGATGTGGAGACCTTCCAAAACACTGACATTTTCTGCATCCTTGCATCTGGCAAATGGGGTCTTCAGAAACTAAGAGAGCCTTTCAGCAATGTTCTGAAAACAATTGCTATGCTCACATTTGACATGTATCTATTTTGGTCACATAATATGACACAAAATAGACAGTTTCCTCCTTTGTGAAATGAAAGGTTTGAAGTAGGTGATCCTTAGAGATCTGCTCGGCTCCAGAAGGAAGAACAGGGGTGATGATATAGAGGCAAATGCATCCTTGATGTCAGGAAAAATGTCCTCATAATTATAGCCATCCCAAAATGGAATGAGCTGCCTTGGGAGGGCATCAGAGGTCTTCAAGAAGAGGTCAGATGATCACTCATCAGGTATGGTACAATTGGGGATTCCTTCTGAATATGGGTTGAGCTAGAATGTCACTGAGGTCCTTCCAAGCTCTCTGGTCTATGAATCTGTGATTCCTTCCAGCTCCAAATCTATGGCATGATAGTTGTCAATAACCATCAACAGTGACCCACCCAGAGCCTCAACTATACTGATGGGAGAGACATCACTCTCTTCTTTTCAGCTCCCACATTCTAGAGCTAAGTTCAAACTGAGAAATACAAAATGGAATAAATTAGGTTGTCTCCTCTTCTGAAGCCCATTGGCCATAACACCACTGTGGATCCCACGGCAGGTGAGCAGCATTTATATTCATCCCTGCATTTAGCATAGTTTTAAAAAGTGCCCCTACTAATTGTCAGTGATATAATGGATTGGAGCCAGGAAGATGAGTTCAAGCCCTACCTTTGACATGTACTGGTGTCCTGGCTGAGTCATGTGTGACCCCTTTGTGCTGTAGGTAACTCTATAAGGCTATAGGTTGTAAAGAAAGTGCCAACCTGCAGGAAGTTGCCTGCCTCCGGGAGGAACTGGGAATTCCCTGTACAGTGAAGTCAAAGGTCCAGTCCCTATTGTATCCCTAAGTGCAAGGCACTACATTAGATGCTAGGAATACAATGGAACTAACCAGACCATGCCTACAAGGGACTTATTTTCTGGGATGGCAGTGGGTGAAGAGCAATATGAATACAGACTGCATGGCAAAGTCCAGGGCACTGGACTTGGAGTCAAGGGGAGTTGGGTTCATATCCTGTCTCAGACACTTACTAGCTATACACCCTTGGCAAACAGTGTATCCCCTCTGCATCTCAGTTTTCCCATCTGTAAAATGAAGGGGTTGCATTCAGTGATCTCTAAGGACCCTTCCAGTTCTACATTTGTAATCTTATGATATTATGCATATATTATAGGGTAGGGAGTTGATAGGGCAGGGGAAAAGGAAAGAATCAGATAGAAAGTTTTATAAAAACATGAGATGGCAGAACTGAGCGAAAGGGAGAGTGGATCAAGGAAAGTCTCATAGAGGAAGAGGTGGAAAGCTGAGCCTTAAAGGGAAAGATACATTCTGAAAGTCAGAGAGGAAGAAGGACTGCATTCCAGGCATGGGGGATGGCTTGTGCAACTATATGGAGGTAAGAAATGGTCTATCAAATTCCAATGACAGCAAGTAGCACAGTTGGACTGGATGGTGAATTGATACAGTAGGACAAAACAAGATTTAAGAGGCGGTCCGGAGCCCAAACATAGCGGATTGGAAATTCCAGACAAGAAGCTTGTAATTTATCTGCAGGGCAATAGGGAACACTAAAGACGTTTGAGCAGAGGAGTGATGGAGTCAAACCTGCACTTTAGGGAGACTATTTTGACAGGTGTGTGAAGGATGGATTCATAGAGGGGTGAGGATGATGGAAGGGAAACCAATTAGAAGGCAATTACAAAATCGTCCATGTGGGATGTAATGAGAGCCCAAACTTGAGTGGTGACTGTGAAAAGAGAAAGAGAACAGCTGTGAAAAATGTTTATATATATATATATATATATATATGTATATGTATGTGTGTGTGTATGTTTATGTATATGTGTATATATATGGAGAGAGAGAAAGAAAGGAAGTAAAAAAGAAGAAAAGAGAAGGAAGAAAGAAAAAAGAGAGAGGAAGGAAGGAAAAAAGAAAGGAAGGGAAAAAAGAAGGAAGAAAGAGAAAAGAAGAAGGAAGGAAGGAAGAGAAAGAAAGAAAGAAGGAAAAAGAAAGAAAGAAAGAAAGAAAGAAAGAAAGAAAGAAAGAAAGAAAGGAAGGAAGAAAGAAAAAGAAAGAAAAGAAAGGAAACCAGGACTTGACATCTGACTGGAAGTCAGGGGAGAGGGCAGAGTCAAGGATGACTCCCAGATTATGCCCCCAAGTCACTGGGAGGCTGATAGAGCCTTCTAGTGATGGGACGAGTGAGGAAAATGATGAGTTCTGTTTTGGAAAGGTGATGACAAGGACTAAAGGATATCCAGATGTGCAGCAGGCATTAGGCAGTGCCAAGTTTAAAGAAATTACAGAGGTGGGAGCCATCATTTCCACAGAGGCAATACTTGACCATCCTGGGGCTGATGAAATATGTGAACATTTTATGCAATTGGGGGCATCTGTTCCATGCATACAACTCATTTCTATTGACACCTGCACTGAAGTGTGTAACACCCAAACTAATCAAACAAGCCAGGAGCAATGTGTTTCTTAATCCTTGCAGATCCACTTACATAAGCATGCCTTGCAATTTTCTGAGGTGGAGGAAGTGAATCATATCTTGGGGACTATCCCCGGATCAGGGGTTCTTCCGGCATCAAATGGCTTGCCTTCTCCACGAGGAGGGAGAGGAAAGAAGGAGGGAGGGAATCGGGAACTCAAAATTTTAAAAAGCAAATGTTGAAAATTATTTTTACACATAATTGGAAAAAAAATATTGTTTTTTAAAAAGATCAGGGGCTCTTAACCTTTTTGGTGTCATGCACTCCTCTGTCAGTCTGGTGAAGCCTATAAAACCCTACTCAATACACAAAATAATAATACACAAAATAAGATATAAAAAATCATAAAAAAGAAATCAATTACAGTGAAATTCAGTTTTCAAAATATTTTTTAAAGTAAGTTCACAGACTCGTAGGGGTAGGGAGATTTTTTAGATATTTAGAATATATAGTGATTTCTGGTGCTTCTCAACTAAAATATTCTCTGTGCATGGTGCCAGCTCTGTAAGGATCTCTTTTTTTTTTTTTTTTGTGAGGCAATTGGGGTTAAGTGACTTGCCCAGAGTCACACAACTAGTGAGTGTTATGTGACCGAAGACAGTTTTGAACTCGGGTCCTCTTGACTCCAGAGCCAGTGCCCTATCCACTGTGCCACCTAGCTGCCCCTCTGTTAGGATCTCTTGCAATGAATAACCCAACTGTATGTATGGAACATAGTCATAGCTATGTACAAAGCAAATGACATGGTTTAGCTCTCTTATCTATGTTCAAAGAAAAATTAATTCTTTTGCCAACTCAGTTTAGAAAAATGTTATCTGAAGAACTTCCAGTTAATGCTTCCAGAATTTTATACTCAGTGGCTTATTAAAGAGGGAAAAAACAATAAGTGGGAAAGTACTTCTAAATGTGAATTCAACACACATTTATTAAATTCCTACTCTGTGTCCAGGACTGGGATAGGCATTGAGAATACAAAGACAAAAATGAAATATTTCCATTCCTCAAGAAATTTTCATTCTACTTAAGTCTCATCCTAGCTAATTTTAAATAGGGTTAATTTGCTCTTGAACGCAGAGATAATCCCTTCCCTGACCTCAATTATCTCACTGATTGGTTCTTTGTTAGGTCAGAATGGCAACTCATTCTACATTTCCATTAGCTTCAGAAACATTCTGGTTGCCAAGGGCTAATATTTCTAGCTAGAATGTATTCTTTAAAAGGTATAGCAATTTTCTAATGCAGATATAACGTCTTTCCCATTCTGTCCCTGCCTCTCCCACTCTGCTGCACTCAGCCATGGCTGACTGGGGAGATTATTTGACTGGGGAGGGGTAGAAGGAGGGAAGGTAGGAAATTAGGAGGGGCAACTGTGACATGAGGTCAAGCAAGGCTCCTGTGAAATGGGGAGGATGGCTACAGGAAAATAGGAGAGGAAAGGGATAAGAGAAGGAGGGCGGGGAGATAGAAAGGCTGGGGGGATTGGGGGAAGGGGTATTCAGAATGCACACTGTCTTAGAGTGGGGGAAGGGACGAGATGGGGAGAAAATTTGAAACTCAAAACCTTGTGGAAGTGAATTTTGAAAACTAAAAATAAATAAATAAATATTTTTAAAAATTAAAAAAAATTTTTTTTAATTTTTAAAAAAAATGAAATGAGGAGGTTGGGACAGATAACCTTTAAGGGACTCTAAATTCTATGGTCCTCTACAATCCTTACTAAGCTTAGCTGCTGAGTGTACCTATTTTGCTCCATGATGGGCTAGCTAATAATGATAATAACTAAGATTTGTGCCAAATACTTTACAATTGTTATCTTGTTTGCTCTTCACAACAATCCTGGAAGGTTGGTGCTATCATTATCCCCATTTTACAGATGGGGAAAGTGAGGCAAATGGCATCACACAGCCCTTAAGTGTTTGAGGAGGGACAGCTAGGTGGCGCAGTGGATAGAGCACTGGCACTGAAGTTAGGAGGACCTGAGTTCAAATCCGGCCTCAGACACTTGACCCTTACTAGCTGTATGACCCTGGGCAAGTCACTTAACCCGATTGCCTAGCAAAAAAAATAAATAAAAATAAGTGTTTGAGGCCAGAATTAAACTTAGGTCTCCCCAACTCAAGGCCCAGTGCTCTATTTAGTGCACCACTTGAAGATATCAGGTAGTGACTAGACAATTGAGATGTCAAAGGATCACATCATCATGTGCACCAGTTGATAGTAGAACCCAAGTTTCTTGCTCTGGGTCACGTCGAGAGTCGCAGGTCTTGGGGACCTTTGCCATCAACCTTTCCTTCTGATATCTAGTCCTACTGGAGGCGTGAAAGAAAGGAGTATGTTGTTGTTTTTGTCCTTGTCTATGTCATGGCCATGAGGATAAACCACCAGTCCGGAAGCCTGGAGGCTTCATCTGGTAGCTATTTGGTAGCTATTTTTTCAATTATTTATTGTTTCCTCATTATTAAATACTGCTTATTTCTTTTTTTGATTTGAATGATAGGATCATAGATTTAGTGCTGGAAGGGGCCCCAGAAGTCACCTTGTCCAACTTCTCCTTTTAAAGATGAGCAAGAGAAGGATCAGAGAAGTTAAGTGACTTGCCTAAGGTCACTCAGGCTGGAAACAGCAAAGCTGGGATTTGAACCCAGGTCCTCTGGCTCCAATTTCATGCTTTTTTTTTTTCCCAATGCATCTCACTCTGTTTCTACCTCTCTCTCTCTCTCTCTCTTTTTTTTTTTTTTATTCCTTACCACGGTCAAGAATGGGTGCCTGCTTCCCTGGCACGATAACCCTCTTGGGCCAAGATTACATGATGATGAGTACTCACTGAAATAAAGCAAATTTTAAAAGGAGGTAGAGGCTGGGGGCTAATTTGGATTGGGTAGATCCCAAAAACTACAGGGCCCTGGACAGGAAGAAGGCATTGCCCACGGAGAGAGCCGGAGGTGCAGGATAATAGGTTGTTGACTCTGGAAGCCAGCAAGAACATTACCTACTAAGCATTTTTGTTGTCTACCCCATACAGCACACATACTAGGATGTGTGTGGGATTCTCCAAGACTCGTCCGTTTCCTGAACAGGATCAGGCAAGTGGCTATCAATGGCACTCAGCGGTTAAATATTAAAATCACTTCAGAAGCATTATGGTATAGTAGGTAAAGTACTGGACTTGGAGTCAGACCTGTGTTCAAATCCTACTTCTGACAATGAATAGGTGTGACCCTGAGCTGGGTGCTTAACCGCTATTGTACCCCAAGCAACTCCTGTAGGCCTTATCTATTAAATCATAGATGGGGTGTGATGTTTGTTGGGGGGAAGAATTCTCCATAATAATAAATATCACAGATAGGGCACATTAGCAAAAATCATTATAATCTTGAAACATAGGATTGTAAAAACACATGAGAGTTAGAAGGCACTGACAATAGCCAAGGTATGAGAAAAAAGTATTTTTAGAACATGGCATCCCTGCTAAGATCCATCTGGTCAAGGTCATGATTTTGGGGAGGCAATGGGGTAAAGTGACTTGCCCAAGGTCACACAGATAGTAAGCGTCAAGTGTCTGAGGCTGGATTTGAACTCAGGTCTATCCTGAATCCAGGGCTGGTGTTCTATCCACTGTGCCATCTAGCTGCCCCTTAGAAAACAAGGTCATGATTTTGAGAGTGCGCTATTCAAGATGGTGTTTGACTCAACAGCAATCAGAGGGGCTAGAATAATAATAATAATAATAACTAATATTTACATAGCTAACAATTACTACGTGCCAGGCAGTGTGCTTAGCACTTTATGATTATTGTTTCATTTAATCTTTGCAACAACCCTGGGAGGTAGATGCTATTATTATCTCCATTTTACAGATGAGGAAACTGAGGCAAGCAGAGGGTCACACAACTAGTAAGTGCCTGAGGCCAGAATCTGAACTCAGGTCTTTCTGACTCCTGGCACAGCACTCTGTCCACTACAGCTGCCCTGCTGGAATGGGGTATTCTTAACCCGGGGTCCATGCACTTTTTTTTTTAACATTTAGATAACTGCATTTCAATATGACTGATTGCCTTTGTAATCCATTGTGTTGTATTTTATTCATTTAATGACATTATTCCATAGTCTTTGACAAGCTGCCGAAGTAGTCTATGACAGCAGAAAGGATAACCTCTCCATCGAGCCATACTGTGTCATCTTCAAGGAGCCCCAAAATCAGAATGTTCCAATCACATCCCACTGAACGTGCTGAGGGTCCTGAGGCCCGAGCAGAAGCTCAGGGGAGCCAACCTGTGCCCTTCCCACTATGGACACACCAGAATACCTGTTGAGGTCTGTCCAAGAGCTACGGCCGCCCACCAGTCTGTGCTTTGGAGCCTCAGAAGGGAGGACAGACGCAGTCTTAAAGAGGACATCTCTCAGCTGAGAGAGCCGTCAAGGAAGGCCTGATGCCTGGCTACAACATCAACATAGAAGGGTATTGAGAGGAACAAGAAATGGTACGGCTTTCGAGGTCACTGTCCAGAACTCTAGCCAGCTGAAAGGTCTTACTGAGAAACTTTGCGTTAGGGGTGGGTCTAATGCCAGAATCCTCATAGTTTGGGTTTAATGCTAGGACAAAATGAGGCATCTGAAAATCATCAAACAGTTAACAAAAGGAAGTTTACTTTGCCCTTAAATAATAATAATAATAATAATAATAACTAACATTTATATAGCACCAACTATGTGCCAGGCACTGTGCTAAGTGCTTTACAGTAATTATCTTATTTGATTCTCACAACAACCCTGGGAGAGAAGTGCTATTATTATCATCCTCATTTTACAGATGAGGAAACTGAGGGAAACAGGGGTTAAGTGACTTGCCCAGGATTAGTAAGTGTCCAAGTTCAGATTTGATCTCAGGTCTTCCTGACTCCAAGTCCAGAGCTCTATCTACTGCACCACCCAGCTGGCCTCCCAGCTGCTCCTTGCTTATATAGCAAAGATGTCCAACAAGGAAGGATATAGCGGCACTTAGGTTCTCTGGACAAGGCCCCCCAGTCTACATAGAAAAGCATTTATCTGATCAGCAGGGGAGGGTATGGTTATTTGCATGATCTTCAGAAATACACCAAGTTGGAGGGATCCAATAGGTGACTTCGTTTGTTTTTCCCTAGATGACCAAGAAGCTTCATCAAAGAAAGCATGGACCAATAAAGTCTCAGGACAGCTTTATTACCTTTCAGGGAAAATTATCCTTATTATAAAGACATGGAGAATTCTGGTTCCTTCCTTCATACGTCAATACCCAGGAAAGGACAGGCGAATGGACTGTTGAGAGCCACCCACCCAAGCCAAGTAGTTGAAAGCCTGGGTAGTCTGACAGCCTGTAAAATAACCCTGAAGAAAAGATCGGGGCCCTACAAAGATGCTACACCACAAACACCTAGTGTCCATGTGGGAATTAGTCAGACTCTTTCCCGAAGGGGGGAGTGGGAGAGTCCAAAACAATAGAAAATAGAAGAAGCAGGGTCCAAGAAAGGGCCATTTCCAATTCACTAGTGGACATTTGATACCCATATGAGGAGAATCTGGGTCAAGATCCACATGGAGAGAAAGCTGTAGACTGGGATCTTCTTGGGACCAGAGAAGAGGGGAGGTAGGAAAGCTACCTACTGGTAGCTGGTGGCCCGAAGGACAACTCTTCCAGGACTCATGGGAGGGTTAGAGCCAAAAATCACCTTTCCCTGCCTGATACACCAGCTGTGGAGGTCCTAAGGGGCAGAAGGTACCAAAAGAGCCTGGGCCTTAGTGACAATCTACCTGGGCCATACACAGAACCAGAATAAAGACTGGAGACCAATGGTCTAATGTTACTCACCCACACCCAGGGGACAAAGAGATGAAGAGGGTGATGCAGAAGCAATAGTAGGTTGTCTTCAAAGTGCTGAGATTGTCCAACCAGTGACAAGGATGGCGCGCCAAGCTCCTGAGCCCAAGCACAGTGGGCAAGGAGGTTATATCAGCAACCAGATGGTACCTGCTAGTGAAATGTACAATAATACATACTTTGTATAGAATATTGATATGATATTACATACTAGGTATGTGCATGTAATGTATTTGTCCACATTACGTAACCTTGTTGCATAGGGTTTTATATTATATATTTGCATGCAAATATTGTATTTGGGCTTCCGTTTGAACTATTATGTATGCTATGGATTTCATATTTGCATATGACTGTATCTGGGGAAATTTGCCTATGACAATGCCATGGGTTAGTTAAATAGATATTGTTCGATATGTACTTATAATCTATCCACAAACCATGCTAATTATGTGATAGGTACTGCATGATGCCCTGGGTATAAATAAAATACAAAAAATGAAGCTGTCTTTAACTAAAAAGTACCTACATTCTAATGTCAGAGATACTATGTCCATATGTAGGTATATACAAGACACATACAAGGCAAAAAGAAACCTTGGATGGGAAAACACCAACACGGGGTGGGGGTGGGGGACCAGGAAAGGACTCCTGAAAAAGACAGAAGTGAGGAAGGAAAGCATCCCTGATGGGGGAAGGGTAGACAGCCAGAACAGAAGGCACAGAGATGAGAGATGGAGCAAGAAATAGCAAGTAAGTGATAATGAATAACCCATAGAGTATGTGGAAGGGCAAGACAGAAAAGACCAGAGAGGTAGGAAGGGGCCAGTTTGAGGAGAGCTTTAAATGTCAAATAGAGAAGTTTTGACTGAATCCTAGAAGTGATAGGGAGCCACTGGAATTTATGGAGTAAGGGAGTGACATGGTCGGAGCTGTGTTTAAGGAAAATAACGTGGGCATCTGAGAGGAAGATGGAGTGGAGTGGGGAAAGGCAGGGAGACTAATTAGATTAGAAGACTCTTGCAATCTTTAAGAGAGAAGATGGACGATGCCAAACCCACTTCAGGTTGCTGGAGGGAGAATAAGACTTTGGGAAGAAGCCGACATGAGAGGAGCTGGCAATCTCCAGCGTGTCATTATCCTCAGCTTGCTACACTAGAGACTTGGGGGAATTTCTCCTTTGGATGAGATCTGGGACCTTCTCTCCTGGCTGAGCTGAGTTATCTTGCTCCTGGTGGAAAAACTCATTCACACTGTATTACCCAAAACATATTATCATTTGTATAATTTCTCTTATTTCCATTTTGCTATCAACTTTATAAATGGGGAAGAAGAACAACAATAAGGAAAAGGAGAAAGAGAAGAAGGAAAAAAAGAAAGAGGAAAAGGAGAAGAAGAAGAAAGAGGAGGAAAAGGAGAAGGAGAAGAAGAAGGAGAAGGAGAAGAAGGAGAAGAAAAAGAAGAAGGAGAAGAAGAAAGAGGAGGAGGAGGAGAAGGAGAAGAAGAAGGAGAAGAAAAAGAAGAAGAAGGAGAAGAAGAAGGAGGAGGAGGAGGAGAAGGAGAAGGAGAAGAAGGAGAAGAAGAAGGAGAAGGAGAAGGAGAAGGAGAAGAAGAAGAAGAAGAAGGAGAAGAAGGAGACGAAGGAGAAGAAGAAGAAGGAGAAGAAGAAGAAGAAGAAAGAGGAGGAGGAGGAGGAGAACAAGAAGGCTATTGCCATCATCCAAGTAAAGAGTGATTTGTGGCTGAATTGGGGTCTAAGAAGTAGAGAGAAGGAGATGGACACCAGAGAGGTGAAGGCAAACACAAATTTTGGCAACATTGCCTGTTTGGAGTGAGAATGAGGAGTTCAAGGTTGGGAGCCTGGATGATTGGTAGGGTATCTTAACAGTCAGTCGATAAAGACTTATTAAGTGCCTACTATGTGCCAGGCACTGTGCTAAGTGCTGGGGATACACAGCACAGAGTGAACAGGACTTTGTCCAAAGGTACCAAAATCTGGGCAGCGAGGTGACTCAATGGATAGAACGCCAGGCCTGGAGTGAGAAAGACCTGAGTTCAAATCTAGCCTTGAAAACTTACTAGCTGTGTGACCTCGGGCAAGTCATGGGTTAACCCTGATTTGCCTCAGTTTGCCTTAGTTTCCTCATCTGTAAAATGAGCTGGAGAAGGAAACGGCAAACCACTGTAGCATCTTTGCCAAGAAAATCCCAAATAGAGTCACAAAGAGTCAGATAAGATTAAAACAACTCAACAATAAAACCAAAATCTGGGGGAGCAGGTACACACTTCCATCTCAGAGGAAGCTTTCTTACTTTTTACAACTACTGTCCCGGTGTCTCACCCATCCCCAGTCACATTGCTTAACTTACTATGTGATTCAGCTGCTGCCTCAATGTCCCACTGCTGATTCCCCTCTCCCGGACACAGCTGACCTCTAACCTTAACAATGACAAGGACTTGGGGCAGCTAGGTGGCGCAGTAGATAGAGCACTGGCCCTGAAGTCAGGAGAACCTGAGTTCAAATCTGACTTCAGACCAAACACTTGACACTTACTAGCTGTGTGACCCTGGACAAGTCACTTAACCCCAATTGCCTAAAAAAAAAAAAAAAAAGACTAGATTCCCCTCTGGAGTATGACTATTTGCCCCAAGTGAAAAAAAAAATTCTAGTTTTGACTCTTCTATGTGAAATCATTAGTAGCTCAGTTCTACCAGATAGTTGTATGTTTATCCTTTTAAGCACTACAATTTTTAAAATGTTTTTGCCACTGGGGATTCCCTACCTCTTCAAAAAGAACAAAATTTCACCTTTTCCTGATGACTCAGGGTTATCATTATGAATATAAATTGTAACATGCATTCTATTGCAATAAAATCAATTGGCATCCTTGAATATGTATAAAGTCATTTGCTACTATGCTAATTTGTCATAGATTGCTATGCTTCAGTTCTTCTGTCTGCTTTTTATAATTATTCTGTCTTCTCTCTCACTGTCTGCCATCACTTCTTGCTTCCACTGTGCCTGCCATAGCAGCCCTCTTCTTCCTAATTTCCTGCTTCTAATATGTTGTAAGGGGGGAAACCACATTATCAAGGTTATTAAAACTGTAGACTTAATAAGAATAAATAAGCTAAGTGAAAGGTCAAATGACTTTCCTCTAAGTAAAGCACACGAATGTTAAATGCTTGAATTTTGTGATAATATGTGTGTGAGTGTGGGTGTGTGGAAAGTCCTTCTTTCTTTGTAAATCCACAATTTGAATAACCTTGATAATATGGTTTCCCCGCTTATTACATATGTATACTTACATATGTAATATATGTGTGTATATATAGACCTACATTTATACTTATGCATGTGATATATGTGTATATATACATACACATATACATGTTTATTTAGATGTGTGGAAGCATGTTATTGGATAGAGTGCTAACAACAAAGTCAGGAAGGCCTGGGTTCAAATCCTGCCTCTGACATCTACTGGACATATGACCTTGGGCAAGTCCCTTAACCTCTCGGTGCTCTAGGCACTCTGTAAATTATGGAGAAGATGCCAGCCTACACTGATGAGCTTTATCTCCTGGAAATTCACTCTAGCAATGCAATCACAGGCATAGTCCTTATCCCCTTTATATTTAAGGTACCCAGAAGACTTCTTTCCTTCCTCTGTAGTTCTTGGTAGTATTCAATACAACAAGCATTTATTAAGCACCTCATGTGGAAGTGGAACTGTTCTAGATATTGAGAATACAAAGATAAAAATGAATGCAGACCCTGTCCCCTGCCTCCCAGGAGCTTACAGGTGACAAATGGTGGCCAAGTTGCCAGATAATTTTGCATTCTGTATGAATGAGATGTTACTAAGGATCCTCTTCATTGGACATCAAAGTATAAACGTTCAGCAAGGCAGCTAGGTAGCGCCATAGTACATAAAGCACTGGGCCTGGAGTCAGGGAATCCAAAGTTCAAATCTGGCCTCAGACACTTACTAGCTGTGTGACCTTAGGCAAGTCACTTAATCTCTGTCTCAATTTCCTCAACTGTAAAATGGAAATAATAATAGCACCTTCCTCCCAGGGTTGTTGGGAGGTTAAAATGAGATAATATGATTTAATATGATTATACATGTATAGTCTATATCACATTGCATGCTGTCTTTGGGAGGGGGGAGGGGAGGGAGACAAAAAAATTTGAAACTCAAAATCTTATAAAAGTGAATGTTGAAAACTAAAAATAAATAAATAAATACTGGGTTTTTTAATGAGATAATATGTGTAAAGTACTTAGCATAGTGCCTGGCACATAGTAGGTGTTATATAAATGCATATTAACTTCCCTCTTATTTATAAACCACTAAGCATAGTGCTTGGCACATAGTAGGTGATATAAATTCTAGATTATTATTCTAGGAAGATGTTTTACATATCCATTATCAGACCTGATATGGTAATAGTTCAGGAGACCCAATAAATCCAAATTCTTTAATGCTTAATCTTTAATGCTTTATAAAACATAAAACCACAGACTAGAAAGGCATACAAAAATAGGCCAGGTAGTATGCTTAAAATGCTTCCATATTCCTCTTCACTTCTTCCAAGTTCTATTTCCTTGACTCTCTTTGCTTTGATTTCATCTCTATAAGTTCACCTTGTTTGTTTGTTCTCCCTGTATATTCTGAAACTTTGAGATTATCTCATTAACTTTTGGGTTCAACACCTACCTCGAATCCATCCTGGCTGTGTGACCCTGGATAAGTCACTTTAACCTCCTATCGATCTAGGCAACTCCCTAAGACTAGGAGTTGCATTGACCTGGAGGAAATTTCCTCACCTGGGAGTTCCCTATACCAAAAAAGTCGCAGGTCAAGTCCCCTTCCCTGTCTCAATCTTCGAGCTTTACTAGGGAATACCCTGGTCCTTATTTTCCTTCTCCATTTGGTTCTTTACTTTGCTTCAGTTAGTTGCCTAAAGCAGGCTCAGAAGATTTTGTCTTCTTATTTGGGTGACCTTTAGTAGATTCCTAGCATGAGATTCCCCATCAAATTGACCCAGAGATATTCTACCAACTAGACACCTCTTTGTCGTGAACCTGGACTTTATAAAATGTACTGCTCTCCCCTTCCCAATTCTTGCTCCCCCCCCCACT